GACGATCACCGTCTCCATTCGAATTATGGTTCTCGAGAAGTTGCGCTCCATAATTGCAAGGGATACTCTTCATTTAATTTAAGATACATTTATGATTTCAAACCTGGATGATGGATTCTAAGTTCATAAAGAACATCGCACCAAAATGCACCCTCCAGTCAGTAAAAGCAGGAAAGAAACTACACAAGAGACTCCCCACAATGACCCAGTTAGAATTTTATACATATATAGAAAAAATGAAAAGTCCACGAATAAATCGCAAAAAAATTAAATATGTTGTTGATAATTTCCCATATACATAGCATAACACAATCATCTTGTTGCTTCAAACTAATGAATAAATACCACTTTTATGAATTGTAAGCCATATTAGCACTTTCCCATAGTTATAATCACTTGTTGTGACATTGATGCAAACGCGACGAAGTTGGACTATGTCTGATAATGATGTTGGCCTTTTGCTCGTCTCTAACCTTCATAATGCCTCCAAGTAATTGAACTTGAAATGATCGCTTGATGACGGTGCAGTCATTTCAAATGTTTCACATAGAATCCCAACCCATAATACTGCTGGTTTCATACATCTCTTGCTCATAAGGAAGTCCAAATACATAAAGACACCTACTTTCAAATCTTTCACTCATATAGGAATTTGGTTGCATCCTCATGGTTTTGTAGTGAATATATATGGTGTTTTAATGGATTTTAGAAAGGTGAAGTTTTGTAAACTTAAGGATAATACAATAACCTACATAATTCTTACTTATTCTCTTCACAGCAATTTATAACAATTTTTAAATAAAACTGATTTTCTGTAACACAGTCCATTTCTTTTTTTTGTTTATTAATGCTTGCATTATTCGCAGATAAATGCACAATTGCGTTTAATGCATGCAAGTGTGTAAAATATTAAAGAATACTACCATGCGCGGATTTTTTTATTAGTACAAGATTATTTTTGGAAGATCTATCTATTTTTCATGATCTATCTATACAAACAAGCATCTATTTTATTATATAAATAATCACCACGATGATTCTTTATAAATAAAACACAATAATTTTTGTTCATTGATGTAAAAACTGAATTTCACATAAATATTAAAATCTTGAATTTCTGAAAATCGGGTAACCAAATTATGAATAAAACTATAATTTTCTGAAATATCAAAATTTATAAATAATTAAATTTTTAGCTTTGTAGAATTAGTTACCTTGAACTGAAAAGATACGAATTCTTTATTAAAAAACTTACTTTATAGAAACGATTGTCTTCGCCGAACAATGTTTTCTTTTAGAATACATTAGAGTACTCCTTCTTCTTCGGAGTCACCAATTTTAGGTCAAGTGTGTTCTTAAAGATGAATATATTTGAAACAAGCTTCCAACATAAAAGCGGCTGGTCTGTGATGGAAATTATCTCTCAGTTTAGTAAAATCTTCTTGTTTGATGATGAGTTATTTCGTTTTGAATGAGATGTAGAGAAAGTGTAGAAATTGAGATGCAATCGAATGGTATTTGTAATTCCGTTCAATAATTTAAATATAAATTGCTGAGACAAGGATGGCGTGCCAATCCCCAATCACATTATCATTTTTACTGCATATTCTTTTCTGCAAACTTTTATATATACCGACATTTATTTCCACAACACAGTTTCGAAACCATTCAAAGCAATATTACCATCCCATGCAAATGTTCCCGTATCGTGCATGTTATTGAATCCATCTTTACCTTTTTACATTCTACCGCCGCGTAGAGGAATCGTCGGTTTAGCTTTACCAGGTAGGTTTTTAAACACTGCAAGACAACTCTTGCATGCCGTAACACTCTGGGGTAACCGGCGGGATATTTTACGACATAGTAAAAATAGAGGAGTAACATCTTAAGAAGATATGCGATGTTAAGACGATAAGCCATGATAAGCTAAATATCAGACTAAGGGATGCTTGATGATTAAGCTACTGTACATGCACATGTGTTTTATGTTATGTACCAACTTATTCATGATAAAACTTATTATAGCATGTCCAAATATCTTTTATGTTCGACTGCGGTCCCGCACTTCTCATGCCCTTTTGATTTACTGGAATGGTGGGAAGAAAGTTGTATGTATGAATGTAGGTTACATCGAAGTTGAGATGATATCAGCCTGCAATACAATAAGCTAGAAACTGACACAGAGCTCTAAAATCTTGAATTTAATTATCGTATGTTATGCAGCTACTCAAATAGAACCATATAATTATCTCTTCCAAAGAAATATAAAAGTCGGAGCAAAATTGTTTAACTACATTGCAAACAGAAGTTTGAATGTCATGGGTGTCTAAACTTCTCTCGAGGACGTCAACTTTGATGTGACCTTTCATTTCAAAACTTAACAGTGCCCTAAACAACAGTCACAGTATCCAACAACATTCAGAAGCAGGCAATAAGGAATTGGCCCATCCAACAAGAAACAGAACAGGGTTCGAGATGGCTTATCGAAAGCTTTGTTAGGGGACTGTATCATGGATGATGTTTTGCAACTTGTTTTATGTTAAGATGGTAATCGGAAGGCTGATAATAAAAGCGAAGAAGATCATGGAGGACGAGTGGTTCAATGGTGGGGTTCTACTTCTGTCAAGGCATGGGCTGTGAAAAGAGATGTTCCAATAGTCTCTACTCTTCTTACAAATTACTCGATAAATTTTAAACTAGATCTGCTACATATTCATCCAAGTTGAGAATCGACTGAGTCTGTGCAGCACCTTCTTCTTCTCCTACTTTAAGTGAAACACTAGGTAAATAAATTAGTTGATTTTCTTCCTCGGCTCTTAAGATCTCTGATCAAAATGTTCACTATATGTGCTCTCAGAAGTAGAGAGTGCTTTGTTAATAACCAAAGGTGTACAGTTATAGCACCTTTCTTCTTCTAATTCCTCGTCTGCCGAAATAAAGTTCAAACAACCTCCCTGGCCCACTGTGATCACTTCCGATGAAAAATATATTACATTGGATGCAGTCGATGCAGTCCAATGTAAATGCATTTTTCATTCGGAGACCGATTGCAATATAATTTTAGACCTGCAATCGATGCAGTCGTTGAAGGATGTAGTTTGATAAGACTGCGAATGTACATGGACATAGCACACTCGCTGAAAATGAAAGTCCCACATTTGGGGATGAGTTAACGTTCATGCAAGACAGGAAAGTGAAGAGGATTTCCAGTGGTTCATACATATGTGTGAGTTCCATCGCAATAGTTGTGACAACAAGTCTCAGTCTTATAAACGTTTACTTGTGAATATTACATCACATGGCCGTGTAATTAATGGCCATTTTCCCCAGAAATATCTGTTCAAACATGTATCTTATCACAAGGAATGGAGTGCACATCTTCGGATAAGTTATTGACTCCCGTGCCAGTTTACATGTATTTTTCAGAATTCCATCAGATTTAATGAGAAGATCGCGAAAACACGTTCAAATCTCTAGCGTCAAACTTGTCAAATTGTTCCAAGCTGCTCAAATTTGCACTTGAAGGTACATCGAATGACACTCTAGGATCCAGTACATTTAGTTTTACATCGGTGCAAGGAAGATGTGACGATTTATTGACAGTGAAGGAACTTGTGTCAATTCGATATACGATCTGAAACTCCCACCGTAGCCTCAACTAGGTCTAATTGGCCATGGATAATTAGATGTAGTTGTGAACTTGAGATGCTACTTTTCGTTAAGATCAGAATGGACGCTTTCACAGTGTTCTGGAACGAATATATGTAGCAATAATCATCAGCTAGGGAACAGCCTAGAATACTCAAAACTGGCCACATGTATTTCGACTATCGTGTATCATCGACGATACTGTTCTCCTCTGCATAAACAACCACAAACCACTCTACCTGTCCTCTATCCTCGGAGCGAGAAACCGCAGTGGCCAAAGTTTGGACACAACCTCACGCTTCATCAGCGAGATCCATAAAGCGATTGTTCAGGATTGTTGGAGTACATGTCACATGAGGGCTTTTGGATTGGTTGTGTGCTCCTCGCACCGGTGAAGTCTTGCAATGCTGAGCCAAAAATGCAAAGCAAACCGTAAATTTGACTTTTCTGCCCCAGGTGATTGTACTAACGGATTCCAGGAATTAGGTTGTCGAAGTCAAGAGATGAGTAACCATCGTTTCTATCGAGTGGCTATGCTTAGCCTGGGAATCTTCTTTGGCCAGTTTCTATTGTGACAATGAGATTCCTCATAATCCCAAACTTAAAGGATCTGGGATCTGGAGCACATGTATGCCCAAATTTAGGCAGTACTACAGATTTCTCTTTTGGTTTCTGTTTGTTGTGTTCCTGTATTCTACAATGACTACATCGACAGGAGCACTGATGTCTTCGTTCGCTTTAGTATAATTTGCCCATTTTGACTCCAAGTGTTATCAGCCTATATTTGAGAGTGTTGCCTACACCTTGGGGGCCGTGTTCTCTTCGACTGAACATGTTGATTCATAATGGTTCCCTCTCACAGCCGCAACAACCAACCCCATCACATCCCATCTTCCCCATCTTCTCGTCCCTTCTCCACAGTAGGAAAGCACACAGTGATGGCATGGTGTGTTCACAGGGGTAAGTCACAAGATGCAAAAGCTCTCGCCACTTTCTCGCTGCTCTTGCGATTTCATTTCATTTCATTGGTCGTCACAGTCAGCGAGTTTGTCTAAGCTGGAAAATCTTACCCAAACCTGGGACAACAGTGGTGTCTGGGAGCTAGCGTGTCTCAAGAAAAGGCATAGTGGTTCGGTTTGATGTGAGTGAATATGCTTACGACTGAACACAGTGCCTGTTCTTACTGCACCGAAGGTGGGGATTCGGTGGGTCGTTCCAGATGATCTCATGGCCTCTGCACAAGTGGAGTTTGCGTTCGCTCTCTTCTCAGTCATTGACCAGGTCTTTCGTGAGAAGCGGCAAACATCGCCCTTGCAAGCTGAAGGAGCTGGAATCGGCGAGAAATCCCTCACCTGATGAAAACAACATCGAGTATCTTACACCGAGGCCTGTGGAATGAAAGATCTCTGAACACCAATGAACGAATTCACGATTTTAGGGTGAAATGAGGGAAGGGAGCAAGGAGCAGACATGTTGACTGGGACCAGGTGAACACAGAGAGAGGAGAAGGGGCGGGAGGGCGATGTTGGGACATCCACTCCATCATTTGCATGAGCATGAGAGCTGCGTCTGCTCTCTTTCATGAGCTGAGTTGTCTCTCCAGGGCGTTCGTTGGCCGACGACACTCTCTGCTGGTGCCGAATTTCCGACGCCGCCACTGGTGATGGTCTTACGTTCCCACTCGTGTTACTTCAAGTCTAACCTGAAGGTAGAAGACAGCCAGCCAGCCAGCCGAGGCGAGGTTGCAATACTCACCGGAGTGACTGCATCCATTGACACACAACAGAGATCGCAGCATGTTGGCATGGACGAAGATCCCTATTGACTTTGCCAGAAAAGAAGGTTACCCAGAGAAGAGTGGATCCCTCCAACCTGGATAGTTTTCTCTAAGTCTTCTTCCTTCTGTGTAGTTTTAGGAAACAGATGTTCCGTCTCATTCACAGCCAGTGTCGGTGTCTTTCATCGACATAGGGAGGGAGTGAGTGAGCCCGCAGGTAAATCCCTAAAATACTAGCTATGCTGGTGTTCGTAATGGCTTGCTTTGATAGAGTTTCGATGTAAGAATCTTTGGCTATTGCGCTCAGCTAATTGGCTCTGGCGCTGACCAAGGCAGTGAGTTCTCTTGCGAGCTTAAGAAGCCGGTGACATATGCTCTTAGATTTAAGATGTTCATTAGACTGAAGCAAATTCTCAAGATTATTTGAAACGAAATCATGAGTAGCTTATCCATTTTCGGCTTTAGGGTTACTTTGAACTCGAGGACGTGTCGGGACGAGCAGGATGTTACTCCATCTACGATTTACAGGATGTTGATTGTGTTAGCCACGAATCATGGCGTCATACGACTATGGCTGCCGCATCAGCCAATCGTTGAGATTCCAGATCTCATCATTCCTCAGTTCGTGGCTGACATAATCAACATCCCGTAAATCGTAGAGTATAAGTTAAAACTAGACTCCTCTGCACAAAAAATTGGAACGATTGATATCTGAACAAGGAGCACGAGGGGTGTGAAAAGATCGTCAGGTGGATTCAAATTGACGAGGAAGAAATTCTCTCTCAGACAATATCAATGTGGAGGAAGTATCGCTGGAGATACATAAGAATGAAGTACATTATGATTCAAATTGCGAGATTTGGCCACGGGGAATGTCGTTCGCGATTACCAGTTTTCTGCAGACCGAAGGATATCGTTCACAAGTACACGGTCAAAGCATCTCTTCTCTCCGGGTCTCCAGGTACCTATCACTCGTCCTGTAATCGCCACGGTTCGGTCCATCATCCACGACAAGATTCAAAATACTGAGCACGTTCATCCGTTGGCACAAAATCGTAGGGCTCCTAGATTAGTATCGATATGTGCTTGTCTTCTTCACCAGAAGTTCGAACTCGATCGATCGAAATGAGTCTCACATGATTTCTTGTGCTCAAGGGTTTCATCGCCTAAGCTGAGAGTGAGAACACTCTACTCCACAAGTCATCATTCATTCTGGGCAATTCCATCAAATGATTGAGTGTACATTAGACAGCAAACGAAGAACAAGAAGAACAAGAAGAACAAGAAGCTGGAAGATTTGTTTGGCGTGGTTGAGCAGTCACTCTCCGGGGCAAGGGCAAGGGATCACCTTCTGTCTCGCAGGAATGTTTCCTTCCTCCAATGCCTGATTCTCCAACACACCAACCAACGGCGTTCATCTTCTCGCGATGGGTTGCGGGGTGGCACTCTCACACAAGGGTCGGAAGAAGTCACTCGGGACAGAGTTCATCCAGAGAGAGGGAGAGGTCCAGAGGGAGGGCACTGATTTGATTCACGCCCAAGAAACGAGTCCCTTGCACCACAAGTCGCTCTCTTGGTCGCGGAGCTTCAGTAGGCGAAGGACAATCACGCCCTCTCCATCCCCATCCCTAATCCCCATTCCAGAATCCCGAAGTTAGCCCGCGTCGCCGACAAGAGGATCCCTTACGTCGTCGCGTCGCGGTCGCCGACTGACTGACGGTGAATGATGCTATGGCGGCATGGCATGGCAGGGCAGGACAACACGAGGGATGACACCTCGCAGGCGATTCGCCGCGCGCGCGCTCGGATTCGTCGATGCGCAAAGCAAAGCGACTTGGAGAGATGGTCGACGGTCCTCCTCCTCGTCATGATGAGATGACGAGGAGGAGGCAGAATGGGAGACTTGCTCGCCGGTCTCAGTCTCAGTCTCGAGCCCGGACCGAGAAACGAAGGCCGACGACGACGAGGGCAGGCCCGTTGGGGTCGACGCTCGTCAACGGGCGCCTGAGGATGGAAAATCATGAGGAGCAGTATCAGCCCCAAACAGTAAACACGATGTGGCCATGTGCAGCGCTGAATAAATATGCTAATAATAGGAGAATGGTCTCGGGAAAGTCAACCGGATCGCAGTTGGCATGTCAAAGGCAGCACATTAGCTGGATACAAGAGGGCACACGATGACGGACCCGCTCCTTCTCAACTTCCGCTGTACGTTATCAGCCGCAGCAAATCCGCACGGCGTGCATTTGCTCCCTCCCCGGCTTCAACATCGACCTCGACCTCGACCTCGAGCAAGTGCTCAGACAATCGTTGTCGGGGATCGTCGAGAGTCGTGAGGATCATCATCGCCCTGCGTTCTGCTCTGCTGCCGAACGAGTTCGAGTGGTGCTTTCGCCCGAGGAGGCGCCACGATGTGTTGCTGCTGCTTCGGCGGGTTATGTAGTGATTTCTGCGGGGCCATTTCCTTCGCTTTCTGTACTCGATTCCGACGATGCGAGACCGACGACGCCATTTTCTTCAGAGCCAGCGTTCCCGGTACGATCCAATGCAGATCCGAGCCCGAAGAAGAACCCTGTCGTGCATAGAGATATGGATCGATGATTTCTAGACGCTCATGTCATGACATGTCAGCTCGGAACCGGGCCGATTGATTCACGAGAGAGCGAGCGAGCGAGCAAGCTCAGCCTTTGTCGACCTATTCGTGAAGTGCATTTTCAATGTTCTGATTGTTATTTTGAGGGAGCGAGCGTGGGCTGGGCGGAATGGTCGACAGTGCTTCCGAGCAGGGCGGAGCGTATGTCTGAGCGAGGCCAGAATGTGCTCTTGTGGATAGATCGTGTCGGCAGCTTAGATGGGGAATTCTTGAGGCTGGCTGCCTGCCTGGCGGAGGAGGAGGAGGAGCCCGGAGTCGACTGTGGATGATGATGATGATTGTGGTGGATTTGTCGATGAGTTAACGCTGCAGTTGTGGCTATGCAGGATTGACGGCGGAGGACCTTCACGTTCAAGTCGAGGACACGCAAAAGTACCGCATCTTGCAGATTATCGGACAAAGGAATAAGAGAAAAGCCACCGGGGATGGTGTCGCGTCGACCGAGACCACGTCCAGCGGGCAATTCGTCAAAGTGTACAAGCTGCCGCGGACTAAAATTCTAGTGGACGAGGTTCGCGCCGAAGTAGATGAAAACGGAGTCATCACCATCACCATTCCCAGGGATCCGAGCAGCTGATTTTTGGCACGATGGATGCAGAGCGCTCGACCTCTCTCTCTCTCTCCCCACCTCTCCCTCGCTTTAGAGATCCTGAAATTCGGAGTTCAGGCAAAAAGAAAAAGGAAGGATCCATTATTTGCACTCGGCAGCCAGCCAGCCGCTCGAGGCTCGAGGCCGGCCCGAGTGCCCAACCCCAACCTGATCGACCAGTCCAGACATGGACTCCGCCTCAGGTGCATTCTTTTGACTCGTCGTCGTGTAGTGTGTACAGCTAACGGATTTTGACTAGGTGCCTAAACAATAAGACAATGTCTGCCATCGCTTTGATGTACGTGAAACGTGCGACTTTCTCGATGCGGACACAACCCCGTGACCAAGGAGCCTCATTCCCAAGGTGTACCCATCCGCCCATTTTAGTGGAATAAAGCATTTCAGTGTGGGAACGAAGCTTCCCTCTGGCAGCCCATGTCTCGACGGAAGGAAGGAAGGAGATTCCGGACCGGTTTCTGCCCAGAGGAAGGAATGGTCGCCATCGGGTTCTCCGAGAGAGATTGTATATGTTCGCAAAAGTAGAATGGGGTCCGGCTGCTGTACAATTGAACTACTGCATCATGATTTGCATGTTTAGGAGTTGCTTTTGAAGAAAACGAGGTAATGTCAGGAAATTGGGGAATTGAGTGGGTGGAAATTCAGATATCATTCCTGCAGAGCTGCATAGTTTCTGTGCCCAGAGATGTGAGGAATTTTGAAGATGCATTCGGCTTCTTCCCTGCAGCCCGCCCCGCCGCCCACTCGGCCAGAGTTTTATTCCTGAGATTCATGTCGTCTTTCACGCTTCTGGTACAATAGGTTCTTCCGTTTTGCACCTCATGCGTGTTTGTAAATTAGTCTGCACTGCTGTAGATAGATTCTTTGCATGTTATCGTACTTACGGATTGTGGTCTTAATAAATACTTCGTCGGCCTTCTTTTGCAAACCTAATCGTGAGACTGAGGATTGGTTTGGCTTCAGGGAGACAGACCTATCGTTTGCTATTTCAACAGTGAGCTGAAATTGTACAGGGATGCTTGATTGGTTTAAACACCGCCCCATCTGATGGAAGTCAAAGGCTGATAAATCGGCTGAACCTATAACGTGGATGAATTTCATGTGAATTCCTTGAGGAAGCTTTTGACAGCTTTTACTGGAAGTTCCTGCCATGTTCATCTGCGGAGCTTGTAAGACCTGTGAAATCGCCAAACTCAGACCTCCTTCGTTACTACTGGATCTGGATATTCGAGGATGTGATCACGAGTTAAGAAAAGAAGAAACTGTTGGCGGTGATATGGTGAAACTCCAATGCAATGTCGGTGTGCGGTGTTTAGTCAGGATATGCGGATGCTTGTAAAACAGTGGACTGAATCGGCCAACTTTCGTATATTCTTGCTAGAGTTCTCGCTTTGAAGATCAGGGCAGTCACAGTTTCAGCAATGATAACTGTGTCCGCCTGGGGTCCAACTGAAAATGCTTATGATTCATCTCTCAATGTGGTGATGTGACAATCCGGTTTTTGCTGAGCTTCACGTGTTCGGTCTAGACTGCATCGAACGATCTCGCCTGTGTTTGGGTGAAGTCTTTCCCGACTGGCAAACGGTCCATATGAATATCCGGCATCGTCTTGTGGGTTGCAAGTCATAGCGTTTGCCCCCGTTTGGAGACCGAGTCTCGATCGACTTCGCCTGGCAAATCAAAGCAGTCGAGATTAAGGGAGTATTGCGTTCTCGAATTGCTTGTGGGATTGCATGGTTTTCGCATTTCGGGGAAGGAGCGAATGATACTGACACATGGCGCTTCTTTTGAGCATTTAAGAGTCTTTCCAGATTCCGAAAGGAACTGATTGAGACATTCTGTATTCCCTTGATACTTCGTACATACAGTAATTCCTTCAAGCAGGGGACGTCGGTTTTCATAAAATTGTATTGACGGATGATGATTGAGTCACTAAAGAGATGGGCTCTAAAGTGTTTACTCTGTTCAAGGGGCAGCAGCATAAATGGTGGAATATTTGATACCACGGACGTTAAATCTGTCAGAACTTGAACTAGAAATTGCCACGTCTTTGCAAGGAGCTGCGGCCTCCGCTTTGATCGATCGATCTCATCGTGTAGAGAGAGACTATCAGGAGCGGACAGTTGCAAGCATAGAGCATCGATCATATATACAGTGAAAGCATGTTTCCTCTTCACTGTCATTATCTTCATTATTTTTATGTGTCTTTTTGAGGTTTGATTCGTGGACAAAAGACGCGTTCTATTTCCTCCAACTTTGTCGTAACAAGTGTTTATCATTTGTTGGATTGTCTGCTTCTGACCTGTGAATTGGGTACTTTTAAGAGGTGAAATGAGTTAAGTGCAGATTTTCAACTTGTTTCTTGATGGAATTTTTTTTCCTTCCATCCTCTAATTCATTTCCAAAAAAAAAAACACAATAGAAGAAAGAGAACGTTTTGAAGAGTTTCCAACTGTGGTGAAACAATGAATAGATAGAAAAGTTTTAACATTGCCTTATAATATCCACAATATATAAAGTTGATGAAAGTATAATCTAACCTACTTGGACATGACTTCAGTTCGATTCATAACAAATTCAGTTCAAGCATCATCCACATTCGGAAACTTGTCTTTTCAGCCAATGTTAATCAAAGTTTGAGCTTACAAGTTCGAATTTTTCTGAAAAGGTTACTTAGTAATGTTGACACAAAGTCGATAACTTTCAAAATGATCTTACTTGTGGTTTGATATACTCATTCTAACATACATTAGGATAAGTGCTAATGTGAATCAAGATTGAAATTCAAAGTAACAGACATTTCCAATCGATATATGACACAATACTTCTATTGTAAACTATATTTTGTAACATATAGTACTAAATAACTAGTTTAACTAGTCATCTTCAAACTAACTAGATTTCATGTGAATTGTATCTCAACGATCTTACTTTTAACTCATGTCATGATTGATATTATCTATATGATAAACCTTACGATTCAACACATTCATAGTTTGCTCCAATAATATTCTATTGAGCTGTTTAACAACAACATTGTACTCTGTGGACTAACTAATATAATGAGATAACAAGTTAATTCCTCTTGTGTCCAATACATCTCAATATCTATAATATTGTAGTTTCCATAATCGTCTAATTATATAATTTTCACTTCATTGCTACTCTTGAGTTTCAACTTTGAAGTGTTAAATATGTCAAATTTTTACTCCATTAGCACAAACTTCAGAAAATCATCATCAATAATATAAAGTAAAATCTTTCAAAATGGAAAATTCTATGAAATGGTGAAAACGTAAAATATATATATCATCACAGATCTTTTTGAAACTTTAATGTTCAATTTCAAGAGTAGTATTATGTTTCTTTTCAACACACAATGTTCATAAGATTCTGGATTATGAATTAGTGATATGAACATTAAAATTTTACTGAAATCATATAGCTATGATCATAGATAATATGCAAAATTTAAAAGTATATTATGATTATATTAGCTTTGACGAAGTGTAACGCAATGATAAATAAAGAATTTTCTTGATATGTCTAAACCTGTGTTTTTAAAAAACATTTGTAAACCCCCGGTATGTGCAGCTTTCTTAATCCGAAAATAGGACTCATTTTTGTTATTTTTTCGCTTCTCAAGTAAATTTGTGGTAAGATCTTCTAAAATAAAATCATAAAATACTTTATAGATCAAACTAGAGTCGTCTGCCATTGGCATGCAGTTTCCAACAGGTGAGCTTGCAAGCTTGTCTAATACTTTTTATCAAAGCTTCCAGATTGGTATGATAACAATTGGTTTTGTAACTATGAATATCACTCCTTTAGTTAGACATAATGAACAAATGTCTGCACCAATATATGTCATTGCTTCTTTTATACCAATACAAAACTCACAACCTGAGTCAAAGTTGGTCTCAAGGAAAAATTATATTTTTGAAATAATTCAGCGAATAATACAATAAATTATTGTTATTTCCTAATGCATTCAACTATAGTCATTGGAGAATTCTATGTGTAGATATTTGTAATTCTTCACTTGTTCTATTTTTAGATCTTTGTAAAAGAACAAGAATTTGGATCTAATGCCCACTATGATGAATTTAGACTTCTCCATATTGAGCTTACTTTGTTTGATTTGTAGATATTTGTAAAAGAACAATAATTTGAATCTAGTGCCCACTATGATGATTTTAAACTTCTCCATATTAAATTGCATTTTTTCAATTTATAATTGATCAAGAACTTGTAACTAGTGACCACTATGATGAGTTCAGACTTCTTCATAATAATCTCCATTTGATTCTCGCAACAAACGTCTACCAAAGTGTCTAAATGTTTTTGTAAACTACTGTCATCATGGAATAGTAATATAATATCATCTTTGATGACAAGATTTCCAAGCTTGATAGCTTCATTATCACATTCAATCACTTTTTGATATCATCTATAAAAACTCCAAATAGAGTCGAGAGAGAATACAATTTGAATGAATGTGATGGTATAAAAGATCTCTTAAGTTTGAGATCAATTGATCTTCACCAGAACATAATGATTTAACGTGGCCCCAACTACTAGGACATTTGGTGGTTGTTCCAAAGACTTTTCAGTCTTTCCTATAAGAACTTACAAGATACAATGTTAAAAGTTTTCTTCAAATCAGTGAATTTGTAGAACAAAGTTTTTTCATTACTCTTAGATTTTTGTCATAAAAATCGCAAAGCCAAGATTTGATCAATGGCATGGTATGTATGGCAAAAGTCTGTTTGGACACCCAAGCTCTATTAAAAGATTTGTCCATGTGTTCAATTTTGATTCAATCAATTATTCATATATATTGGCAAAAACACTATCCATCATGATAGTGCAATAGTTTGTCATGATATTATACTTTTCCAATTTGTTAATAGAAACAATCTTCTATCGCTATCATGTTGAAGGAAAACAATGGATAGCAACATACTCCAATACTTTGATGAAGATTGACTTAATACGATCTACTTCCAATTTGAAAAGTTTGATAGTACGGTCATCCAAATACTCACATTTATCATTTGTCAATCTTCCAAGTATATTCATCACCTTCGTTTCAAAAAATAAACTTGATAATATATCACATTGTGGCATAGATGTAGCATCAGAAAAATATAAAATATTTCAACAAAAATAATCAAAGACTTGGAATCAAGAGTAGGTTTTAAAGAAAGACCGTACTATCACTCATGTCCAAAAAGATTTATGATACTCCAATTATTTTCCTGTCAAATACTCTTGCTTTTGCAACAAGAAAGCTTGTTTCTTAGACTTCATCAAGTTTTTGTAAAGTCTTCTCATAATGAATCCATTTCGGAGATCGAAAGATTTATCAACTGATCTCGCACTTGCTTGCAATCAAAGTCAAAGCACTAATTACAAGATAACTTCATTGTTTTTTTATTATTATGTTCCAAAAAAACGTAGAAATATTATTTTTGAACAATTTTATTAGTTGTTAAAACTTGTTGTATGTGGATTTGGTTTCTATATAGTGCAACACAAGATAACTCTTAAGTGTAATATATAAAGAAATCTAAATGAAATCTGGGCAAGTTAAAACAGAATGTAAAGTCAAGAGATTTTACGACTTTGACAATGAGAGAGTAAAACAAAAAGTTGCATGATTAGATTCAATTGTAGTTTTAAAATATCAAAGTTATAGAAAAAATAATAACTAATGGGATGAGCTAAAACATAATCAATGTTGTAAACGCCAGTAGGAAAAAAATAACTATTGGAATGAGAATTTTAAAAGTGAGAGATCGCAATAAAGATATTTCAAATTGCATGTGTATCGGAAAGTAAAATAATGTTTTGTCAAAGAATTTGTAGAAAAATCAAAAGAGATTCTAGATCACACATTATCTTCATGTTCTTCATAAAGTGTAAAAATCAAGGAGTCATCAAATTAAGTAAACTGAATTGATGATATTCGTAACTAGAATAACTTCAACTTTGCTTTGATATTTGAGAATATTTTAAACGAGTCCGCGAAACGGTTGACTCCCATTCCAAGTGCGTGTTGACTAGATTTACATGCACATTGGTTTAAAATAACAAGTTATCAAATAACAATAAAATCCTCCAACCAAACCTGTAAACATAGTTAATGACATTGATCTTCATCTTCTAGATGTATGAAAGGTAAAATTGAAACCTAATGAAAATAACGATACCGTTATAACATTTTCAAACTAGTTGACTTCTGTGGTTCTAATTCAATCTCACCAAAGTAAACATTCACATTTATGCAATAATATCACTCTCATAATTTTAAATCTCCACAATGTTCATGATGTTCGTTATATCCAAATTGAAAAAGAAATCATATATATTGTTGTTGAAAGATCTCGTATATTTCACATCAATACTCTATGTTTCTTGGTTTGTGAGATTGATTATTATCTTTTGCTCCGGCTAACAATTATTTGATCATCACATAAATCACCACTAAAATCTACTTATTGAGGTTCTTTGATATTTGTAAGTTCATTTTTCCATTTGTAATCTATTGTTCTCGGCATACAGAGAAATAAGTAAATTTTATAGCTTTAGCATAAGATTTCACTTTCATGTTTTAAAATTAAAATTTCTTATGGTCATGGATTACATTATTATAAGAAGAAATTGTCAATGATTATGTTTCACTTTATTCAACATATTTGAAATTATCATACATCACATAGAACATATATTTCAATATTTTGTTCAAAATCTTTTGTGTATATTTAAAATTTGATCAAATTTAATATTTTTAATATGAATTGTTATCAAAATTTATTTAAATCCTGCAAGATTATTTGTACTAGATACAAGATTTTGTTTTGAATAATCATCGTGTTCCAACTTTTCAAAATCTTTTACTTTGTTATGTTTGAACTTTTCAAATAATTTTTCATGTATTTTTTCAAACTTCACATTGCCATAAGATTTCAATTACATGTAATATTCCAATACAAAGATATGATTTTTGCAACAATGAAATCTTCTCTTTCTAAATCTAAACCTATTCTTACACAATTTAGTACTTATAGGTTTTTTGTGAATAAAATTTTCAACACAAACATGATTTATCAAACTATACATTGTTACAAAATCTCAATTCCATTTGATAATCAAATTCAAATATGTCGCGAAATTTAAATTTCATTCGATACTTTATATCAAAAATATCATTTATACAACATTTAAATTTTGAATCCGTAAATCTAGAAATTCACACAACTTTTACCATATGATGCAATTATAAACTAAACTATTTAAAGCTTATTCCATTTCTTAAAACTAAAAGGACTTCTTTACTTCTTTAACTTCACGTTATCATGAAAATTTAAAATCACTTGAAACCAATAATAAACACTATTAAACTTCATAATGAAGTATGATATCAATAACAATAAATGTTGTAAAATTTCTTATGAAATTGAAAAGTTATGGTGACACGAAATTTGATAATCAGTACTTGATTTGAAAATTTATGGTATAATGTAATTATACAATAAAGTTTTGAGAACTTTAAATTCTACATTTTAGATTTAAAAATTATAATTTCAGCCTTTCAAACTACTCATATTTGAGATGAATTGTTTATTGAAATTAAAAATCATATTGCCGTGATAACAAAAAAAATCATACTAAACATAAAAAGATTAAACTCTAAAAGAATTACAAATTTTGTCAAATTAAAATATTACTTATTCAAAATAAATTTAACATATAAGGAATCAAACTTTGACAAAAAATCAAAATTTACTAATAATAATTAAAAGTCAAACAAGAAATATAAACTTTAAAAATATAAACCCGTGATGATTGATCATTTTAATATTATTGAGTGTATTCAAAAGACAAAATTGGTATCAATATAAACACAATTTTCTCACACAATTCATACAAAAATAGAAAAATATTAGAAATACAAAAACACCCAAAAACATATAACTTATTTCCACCCATGGCTAACCAAGTAAAAATTAAAGTTACTAAAAGTTTGACATGAAATTTGATATTTAAAGACCTTACTTACTATAGATTTTACATTTGTTAATTTTTCAAACTTATTCAAAGCTTAAGGATTCCGTCTTTGAAAAGTATCATGATATTTAGTTTAAACTAGATTTATTTCATTTTTTCCAAATGCAACAAAAAAATTTGATTTGATATATCAATGAAAAATATGTTTACAAAGTTGAATAATTCTATTGTCTTTCATTGGTTATTAATGCTAATATAGCTTTCACATGAATATATATTCAATTTGCAAAATCTATACATGTCATTATATATTCTTCAATATCACATACTTTGGTCTTTCTATATTTGTTAGACGATAATAACATATGAATGACACAAAATATTTAAGAAATTGGAATTAATACCGTATAACCTTTCATTTCTTACTAACTTCACATCTAACGAGAAACGAAATGTCCCATCAATCATTATATTCTTATTTTTAAGATTTAAGATTTCCTTCCAATATTACCTGAACCGTTTTGACAATTTATCACATAAAGAGTACAAAACGAGGAAGCTCGCTTAAAGGCCCAACTTTGCCAAAAATAAATGTCATAAAAGGCATATACTACCCAAATTGTAAGAACGCAGAACATGCAATGACTGTGAAGTGGCTAATCAAGTTACAGTTTGAAGAGAATTGTACAAGAAAGATGATAAGCTAGAAACACAATAGACACCCGACATCTAAACTTTCCACTCGATGGATGGAATCTAGGGGAAAATCATCCCGGTGAGTTTAGATCCAAAACACTTCTTACATTACACACTTGAAAACATGTGCACATCATGATGTAGAATGATCACCTCCCACCGCCTACCTGAAAAAACCAAAAGACGCAGCAACATCACGTTCAACTAGAAGGTTACGACTCAAGGTGTGCAATACAACTGCTAAAAGTGAAATGAAAGAAAATACTCAGACACGCACTACAGAGTAAACTGTAAATGTCCAATCCCGACGGAACAGGACTTTATATGTGATAAAGTCTGATGAAGAGATGAAGATACTTCAATCTACACGGATTACAGAGTTACTGCTCTATGATACCAGCTTGGAGCTTAAAGGGCGTATGTGACTGGTGACTGTATACAATTGCACACCAAAAACCATAATCACTGCAGCGAACTGATTTCTACTTTGTAAACATGAAGTGCTCAGTAACGAAAGGTTTCTCTCCGCAGTTGTAATCCTACTAAAACAACATACAAAATATGTTCTATGTACCTTGTAAGAACATCTATCCTGTATTAACAGCATGCTTTCAACAAGTTTTCCATGCAATGATTCAAAGAACTCCTCAGACGGGAGCAAATACCTGAACCTCTTCAGGTCATTTTTTCACGATGTCTCTCAACGAAACAAAGCATACAGTTGAAAAGATTGTGAAATGAGATACTACATCTAAAATATAGTGTCTGCGATGACGGTGTATAAAACACCGTCATCGCAGACACTATATTTAAAACACCCTTGAAAGAAACAAAAGAGAATAGGACAGGCATCAACGTTGGAAAAGTGTTCATGAAACATGCTCGCTCAATTCTAGTAGGTACTAGAAGAGAAGTGGACCACAGAAAGTGAATTCTTCAAAGATGTGGGTAATGTCCAACAACGAGGACAAAGATAATGTGTATCCTACAAGTGCTGGTCGCCAGTTCAAGAACTTTCATGCAACATAACAGCTTCACAAATGTGAAGAATAAGTTGAAATCAACAACAATTTCTGATTTCCTCCCCTCTCATTCTGTAATTATCTTGATAGTCTTCCAAACAGCAGAACAGAAATATAGACGTACTTTCAAGCCATCCTAGCTGAACCAAACGGGACGCATCGCAACTTTCCAAAAAGCAAAGTCATTATGCAAGATACATCTACGGTGGATCATCGAACTTTGACATTGGCGAGCTTGAGAAGAACAACCGTGGTAAACCTAGTACAAAATTCGCAAAGATAGACTGTACTCGCAGTTCCGGTGAAGAGTGTAACTGAGATTCTAAGGTGATGTTGATCGGCCACCGTGGAGTCGGCATGCTGAGCGTCCTGTCCTTATTCACCCGCAACGTGTCCACTCACGGTCCAAGTTCGATTCTGTTCTCGAGTGCCAAAAAAACCCCTCAATGTAAATAACTCACTACGGTGCTAATGTAAAACTCAACACTGAGAATGAAATAAACTCCGGAAAGGAATTCGATAAAGGTGGCAAAGAGTCAATGAAATTGAATCACTTTCATCAGACTGAAAATTTAGGGTTTATATGCTGCAGCTGTTGACTATGATGGACTTGCGAACAAGCCAGCACTGATAGACGTCAACTTGTTCATGAGATGTCATGATGGAAATTTCTCGTCATATGACCAGGTGCTCTCTCTGACTTTCACTGGAGTTGTTACGCTGATAGAACTATAGAGCCTTGCTGGCTATGTTGTCTGGAAGACTTATACCACTTCCGTGAAGCTGGCGACGATATGAGGATTCAAGTAGTATATTGCCCACGGATACTATCGCCGCGGCTTCTGTACCAAACTCTTGACGGCCTCCTACAAAGCGCGAGATCTCCGGGACATACACAGCGATCAGCAATCTTGAATTGCCACATCAATAGCGATACTTCGTAGAATAATCTTTGGGAGAAACCACCAAACCGCGTCCCTTTCTAGCACCTCTGTACACGGTCTCGACGATGTCTATGAACTCCTGCTTGTCCTTGAGAGCCCAATTGATTTTGTTATTGTTTCCCGTGCCCAAATCGATCATGATGTGCTTGTTCCTGAAGAAAAACATAATCGTGCAGGGATCGTACAACTCATACATCGTGTTGAAATCAGGCACCTCAGTGATATCCACCAGATAAATAACAGCAAGATTCTTTATTGTCTCGGCAACCGACGCCAACACTTCGTCCATCTGCATACAGGTTTCATCCCAATCGTGCCCGAATCTAATGACCACGGCGCGCTCCTCCTCGGCCATAATGGCCTGATCCACAGCCCATCCGGAATGCAAATGGGGCAGCAAGTACGACATCCTCGCAACCTTCCGCGATCACGCTTACACCGAACAAACTTCTCCTCACCACTTTATGTCGTTGTCAGAGGTTCCCAATCCGACAATACTGCCTCCTTCCGCCTCTCTGAACTCTTCTCGCTGCTACGCTCGTCGCTTGCTCCTCGTCCGAGTGAGTGCCCCCGAGCAAGAGCTTCGACGACACGACTCGATTCCAACTGCAGTCATGCGCAGCAGCGGCGGCCCGGTCAAATGCGTGATCGACGATGTCTGCTGCACTGCGCACGAGGAGTCCAGAAGCGTCTACCGCTCTAGAACTCTACGCGCCTACGATGACCTGTCAGTCCCATCTCCATTCTCATTCCCTGGTCGCCATTTACAACAAAGATCTCTCCTCGCGCCCGTCTCCCGTCTCGCGCGCGAAAGGAGATGGAGTTTTTTTTTTTTTCATTTCATTTCCTAAAGGCCATGGTACAACTCTTTTTTTTCACTTTATTAAAATAAAAAGTGAAAAAGTGCCCCCACATGAACATATCCCTGACCTGACGTGTTTGAGCCCTAATAGGTAGGGCGCTAGCCTTACGAGATCGTATTTATGATGGCTTGTTCTGTGTGCATCAGAAATGGATTATAAAATAGAAATGTACCAGCTTTTAGAGGACTAAAAAACTCTTACAGGCTGATGCGCAAGCAATTGCGGTGAGGAGTATGCATTTGAAGTTCTTCGATACAGTATAGTTAACATGCGTTGTATAAAAATCATCAGAGGGAAATCATGATTGGAGTGAAAACAATGTATTTCTACTCGTTCAGGCTCAATATGTGAATGCCTAGTGATGAACTATACATGTATCCATATTATATTTTGAAGGCGGAGGTATGGCCTTACAGTTCATAGATGCTAAATGTTTTAAACTTATGTCATAGTTGAACTTTCAACTCAGTATCTCAATATTTGCATGTACTGAATTAATGATAGTGGAAAAGTGGCAATATCGTAACCATCAAAAAGAGACAAAAAAACAGCTGAATAATAAGTAACGCGAAATTTCTCGATCACTCTCACTATAAATCTTTAATTTGTCAATCTTGCAAGTGAATTTTTAGAATAAAAAACAAATTGAAATTTTAAATCAACCCACCATACAAAATAATTGAACCATATGTACATCTAATCAGTACCATCATACAATTGTGTTACTTATTAGATGCAACAAGAGTTAATTTTAAAGGTAACATTCTATTATATTGCTTCTTGAAATAAATGTCTGCTCAATTATCAATCTTATATATTTTATATACAATATTTTATGTCAAAAATCTTTTTCAATGTTTCAATCTATAACAGATCTTTTATTCTTGTAACTTTTTCAATACTTAATTTAATTGTATAGTTTATATCTGTTTAATATCAATTTATCATGGTTAATAATTTATGGTTAGTAAGATTATAGAGGTTTCAAAGTCAATACTCATGATAATTGATAATAAAGTTTATTGTGTGTGTCTTATGGAGGTTAACTACGTTTATTTATATATATATATATATATATATATATAAACGTAGTTAACCTCCATATATGTATATGTGTATATATATATATATATATACACATGTGAAATCATATTTCAAACCAACCAAAGTTGTAACAAACGGGTGTTTATTTGCCTCCTTGCGAAGAATAAGAAGTATAAACAGGAATTTCCCCATGAAAAGTAACATGAAAACTCTCACAAACTTTTCTTGTTTATGAGAGATTAATGAAATGTCAATAAAATTATACATTGGAAACTAAATACCATAGCAAATAGAATGAAAATAATCATCGAGCCATAAAGCATGAATGAGTCTAAATACCAATCACGATGGAAAATATGTACGAATGTACCTAGCACGTGCAAACTATCTAGAAAGACACCCAATAATTAATATGATGTTGTAGACCACATGTGCAACTATAAGATTCGGGCAATTGCCAAAACCATCTGGGAATGTAAATAGACTTAGATTAGTTTCTCTTCTCAATCTGGGAGTTTAGTCTTTCAGTTATCATGATTATCACATGTGTCACCAAACGTTCATACGAGCATCGTTAGTGTCAGCAATATAATGGACAATGCGAAACTACAAATACTTCTTGTAGTCTTCTTGTTTCGTCACAAGGTTACATTCCAACATATAATCATCCGCCAGAAAAAACACAAACACAGAGGAGAATAACTTTACCATCAACACGTTTAGAAATTGGAAGTAGATGGCACCGTGTGTTCTATTGTATGTTGTACAATACGGGTGTTTTCAACGTCAGTCCCGACCCCTTTTGTGGATCTCCTGAAAGCTTGTAGATAAGGGCGGACGAGACATGTCGAGTTCGACGAGACAAAAGTTGCTTGGTAAAACAACATGTGCGCGGTCAGTGAATGAGTTTGAGCCAAGCGATAGCCGAAGACAAATTTCGGTTCGGGACAAGGATCTGTGACAGGTCGTATCGTCTTCACCTCACCTGTAGTCCGATTCTCTAGCATTAGATTTTGCCCATTCAAATTCATGTCGAGGCCAACAACGTCCTCCCGCCATTCTGTTACTAGTGTTACTGACCCTTTTTTGTCAACCAAATCTACTCTGTGTAGCATATCCCAAGGTGAAGCTTTGCCGGCGATGGTAGGCACAGAACAGTCCCCTGCAGTCACATGGCTTTCCAGCCAGGCACATGGGTTTTCGTCGGCGGGCAGCTCTGAGCTTTTAGAGGCACTCGCGTACAGTGTGCCGGAATAGATAACCTCTATTCCGGTACACTGTGTAAGGCGCTTACTGTTGTTGTGGCAGTGATCCATCCAGTGCATGTCGTCGACTAAACATTCCAGTCAGCCGGCTTCTGCATCATCTCCAGCGTACATGACACTTTTCCTTTCCCGTGGACAGTTGTCCACGTCATGCCCAACTCTATCCTCACCCACACCAGGTTGCTTTACAGACGAACCCGGTGCTCGGTAAACAACCCAACTTGTTTTGAACATTAGGAAACCTCCGCATGTTTACAATACACGAACCATCTCGTCCGTGATCATTTCTGAATTAAGAGCCAAACCCAATGTTCGCGTCACCCACTTTGTCACAAAACTGATACCACTTGAAAAAAAGATTCCGATAGAATTTACTGCACTTACAGATCAGTGGCCCACATTGCGACCAAACCAAGGTAATATTTTTAGCAAGACCATTCAAAGAATATTCGAAAGCCAGCCGTCAGTAGTACTCTGTTGAGGAGATCCCATACTTGGGAAAAAGGATTCAGGACATTTTCATGTGACGACACATAACATATGACGATCCAACTTCACATGACAAAGTTCGATACCAAACATGTTTCAACCAATACAACACATAGTGACGAGAGCCATCATGTAGTGTAAAGTGTACATAACTCAACTTCCATCGATCTCAATACAACAAAACATAGCTTTTGGGAATCACGGTTGATGCCAACGCAGTGAATTCTTACGTTCACAACTTACAAAGGTCAAATCAGATAACCGTACCCATCTTCACAAAATCCTCAAAGACACCGAGAAATATATCAGAACTCGGGAAATATACACTACACGAGAGACTCAAAGAGGAAGCTTGAAGTAATGCACTGCTTGTTCTGGCTTGACCTTGCAAAACATATATAAGCCTGTTAAAGTGCAGTGCCACACATAAAAAAAAACTCCATTACCTTATCGGCTTGAAAAGTTACAATTGGCTTTGATAGAACTCAGAAGGCTGGGAACTTAAGAGTACAAAATAATACGCAAACCTACGCTTGAATCAAATAGGACATAAAAATCACGCGATGAGTACTTTTCAATCAGAACAAAATTTTACAAGAACATCGCCAAAGTCCTACAACTCAAACAAAATTGGTAAAACTGCATGTGCCTGGTGTGATGCAAGATTTCAACTTTTCTGATCAATGGTTAACAACTTCTCTGGTCCCGGGTCAGGGCACAGTAGTTGGGCCAGAATTTATGAAGCTCCAAAACGCTACGCTGAGGGCTCGGGTGACCATGACAGCGTCCTGATGAGCAGGAACAACTTTCTGCCATTGAAAAGCCCAGCTAAGGAGCTAATGTACATACGATGCAATAATTTAATAGCATGAAACTCTTGCCAGGTTTCAACCTACACTACCGTGTCCATGACTCGACACTTGAACTTGGTTGTACAATACAGACTTAGAAGGCCATACCAATAAAGTGAAACATAATTTATGCCTGGCCAATATCAGAATGGCATTCTAAGTTTCTAAAAAGCTGACCTTTCAAGTCACCCGGCTACTTGGGGGTTCTGCAACGTGTATTGACAATGAAAATGATCCTGAATGTGAGCTTGATGCAACTTTCGCGGTAATGAAAGCTCCGTTCAGCCCTCACATCCTGCTTGATTTGTAACCGCTCATGAGGGAAATGGAGAATTAATGTCCACTCCGCTTCTATGAGCTGCTCTCAGAATCCCAAAAAAGTGCATAATTCACAACCTCGTGCCATGTCTGTAAAAATGGTCCAACATCCACTGCTGGAAATTCGTACTTATTTCACACTGCCAGCATCATCTCTTTGAGCTATAGGTAGCTCAACGTTTACAAGGAAATAACACTTACCAGCTTCACGAATGTACTGCACATCCCCACTCATGAGTTTGAGTAACTTCCGACACATATTAAGGCCCAAACCTTCTTGTGTCATGCCCCGTCCTCGATCAAACATCTCTTGAACTAATTCTTCCGGCAGCCCAGCTCCTGGATGTGTTACCCTGCAAAAATCCAAGAATGAAGGACCGAAATGCTTCAAATGTCAGGATCACTCGTGGGGGGGGGGGGGGGGGGGGGGGGGGGGGGGGGGGGGGGGGGGGAACATGTTAGGGCAAAACAATGACGCTCTAGATATTCGAGGCTTGTCTTCGACCACTCTTTCCCCCTCTCAAGACTTCAAGGCATCTTCTAGCTCCTGGTATATTGTTTCTAGATCTTTAGTGCGATCCGAGTCCCTCCCCATAAACTCAACACAGACGTCACTCAATGACACTTCAATGCAGGAAGACAACACTACTTTAAATAATGAGACATTGTTGGTTCCACTTCACGGCCATCTACAATCAGAGAGGCCACAAAAGAGTGAACACAAACCTGAACTCAAAATGAACAACGTGTACACCTCCACCTTGTCGATGTCTGGAAGACACTCCCTTGATTCCTACCCAGCCCTCTGATGAGGGGGTAAATCGAATAGCATTCAATAAGAAGTCCGCCAACACCTGCTGCAACCGAACCTGATCTCCAAATAGACACAGGTTTTTGTAATCTCTAGGGGTGTCCCAGATTAATTGTAGCCCCTTTTCTCTGGATGTGATCATGCCTTGACTAATAACTGCATCCATGACCGTACCCATGATGAACTCTGCAGTGTCGAGCTCCAGATACCTGATTCCAAAAACAGACAACAAAAAAAGGCGTGCTTAGTAACGGACTGTCAGTGAGACTGTCTGCCATTACGAGTAAATTAGGGACATGTTTCAGGCTTCACGATATTGCTCGTCCTCTATTGCTACAATACTCCACGCTTTCTAACACAAAAATAAAAATTAAAACTGAACTGAACAAATCGCTTCCACAAAGGAATCGAAGACTTGATCAGGATTGACACCGACATCTCGTAGATAAGGAAGTGACAGGGCTCAAGCCAAGGGAATATCGGGAGAAGTCTTTTCTATACAATGACCAAGGATCAAGCATACCGATACTTACCCGTCTTCGATACTTTCCAAGTCCATGTCATCCAAAATCCTTCGTAACTGCCTCTCGCAAAGAGCACTCGTTTCTATGAACTGCTTTTGCTCCTCAGTTAGGTTGGTATCCTCGATCAGATTTCGGGTGAACATAATTCCGTACAGGGGATTCTTGATCTCCTGCCGGATGTAGGCTAGCTCCTTCAACTTGGAGAAAGCAACCTTCTCCGTTGCTCTCTGCACAGTTAAGGCTTGGAGCAGCTCCATGCTTGCAATTTGTAAGAAACAAAATACGCCAGTAAAGGCACCTTCAGAATCAGTTCGTTTATTCGCGGTGAGAAGTGCTTCCACAAACTTTCCTTGCCGGTCAAAGAAAGAAAATGGAAACTTCTCTGAATCTTGCCCATCCATGGCACTGTTCAAGACAATCATGAACTTCGTCATGGCATCTTGGCCTTTCAACCTGCAGCACATCATCTGGGTGCCAAAAATTTCTCCGACGAGCATCTTCCCGATTACTTCTTCCCTCTTCCAGCCTGACAGCTTCTCCATTGCCGGATTCCACTCCGAGCAGTATCCGAACTCATCGGAGCCAAATATTGGCGGAATCAGGGGATTCGGATTTTGCACAATTGCCTTATAGTCACCCTGAATGCGAGTAAACTTGTCCATCACAACTTTTTGCCCAGTCACATCCTGACCCACGAAACACACCCCAACGACGTTCTCAGTTACATCCCTACTCGAGCAAGCATTCACGATCAAAATAACGGCTCCTTTATCCTTCTGAGCGCCATACGTTTGAAGCTTGATCTCGACATTTTGCTCCTCCTCACCTGCAAGAGAGAAGACTTCATGGATAAGACTTGCGCCCTATTTCGCCTCGGCTAGACTGCAGATTTCTGTTCTGGGGGTGGGGGAGAAACCCGTCCTCCAGGAAGTTGACATTCACAAAATCTCCTCCAACTTTGTGGCTGCACTTGAATCCTCCTCTTAAATTGCTCTAGGCACAACCCCCTTTTCGAGTTACTTCAGTTAATGTATTCCTAGAATCCTCTAATGCAGATTATCAGAATCCAGGCCGCAACTCCACTCTTCGAATTCTAGCGCTCGAGGTACTACAGCTGACTAAGGATAAAACCTGTTAAGGAGTGACAAGCAAAGCAATGATGTGTTCACAGGATTGACCACTCTAAATACAAGGATGAAAGTGGATTACACAACGAGAAACAGCACTCGAAATGTAGGAATTCACGAGACAACCACATCCTCACCTTGCAACGCTAGGTAGAGAAGTCTTTCCACGGTCTCCACGGACTCCTCAAGTGCAAGATCCTTCACCAACGACCTTCCCATAGCTTCGCTTACTGGAAGCCCCGTAAGTTCCGCTACCTTCGCATTCCATCCGTTGATGAAGCCACTGGAGTCCACAGCCAATATTGGTGCCGTCGCTGTCTCTATCAACCTAACCATTTCGTTGGCTACTGTACTAAGCTCATCCATGCCCTGTAACTTGAGGTCATTGAGACGGGCATGAATCATCGTCTTCGTGTCACTATCGTCAATATCTTGGAATGAGCCGCGGAGTATGAGTTGTAAAGAATGGATAGCATCCATCTCCACATCTTCCCAGGGCAAACTTCTGCGTTTCACAACCTCCAAAAAGGCTTTGAATGAAGAACGCGGGTGCATTTTCCTACCATCATCCTTGTCATCTGGGTCATGTTTTGCACCTCCCCACTTGATCTCCTTGGCTGTGTGAGACCTGAACCAGAAGAGAAAGTCCTTCGAAGTGATCCTTGCTGCAGCCATTCCGCAAACCGCATCACCTAAGGATGCGGCGCCTGGGTAGCCAGCGTCTGCGAGGCTATCGGTGCTCAGGCCTGTGGAGTCTTTGTGGTACTCGAGAAGCCAATCAGCAATGTCCTTAATCTGCAATTCCGTCGGAGTGGTGCCGAGAACCCAGTATCGCTTCCCGTAGTAAAGCGCAGCTCCGTCGCATTTTACGAGGTCCATTATGTTAGGTGACTGAGAAACAATTCCAATCGGGGCATCGCGAAGCAGCATGTCACACAAGAGCGTCTGCGTGCGGAGGATGCGTTTTTCTCTCAATTGAGCTGCGAGTTCGACCTCCATGTTCAGCTGCAGGCCGAATACCTGCATGAGGAATTCACAGGCTGAACGCAATGGAAAAGGAACTGATCGAGGAGTTGTGTGGTGACAGACTACAAGGCCCCATAGCTTCCTGCCCTTGTGGTGGTAACCCCGGCTGCTGTACTCCTCATCGTTGACGTTGATTATCACTGCCATGACCAGAGACGCTATCGATCCCATATTTCCCATGTACTGAGCATGGCAGCCATGAGGGGCTCTCAGAGTGGAACCGGCCAGACTGAGAGGTTGCCTCAACTCCTTGTCTTGGATGACCTGAACTGGCTGGGCGCAGCAATCACATATCATACGCACTCTGTTTTTCATGAACAGAAATCGGGACGCCTGAGGAATGTCAGTGGCAGGGTAGTGCAATCCAAGATAAGGTTCTAGATCAGACCGCCTTATTTCCGCCACAACCTCTCCGTGTTCATCCTCATGGAATTTGTATGCCATAACCCGGTCGTAACCTGTGAGCTCTCGAACCTCCTCCACGACAGTATCACAGAGCAGGCCTATGTCACCACCGGGAAGGGATTGTAGCCGGGCAATTGCCTTCGCAGCGAGCTTGTGGGACTGCAAAGCTCCTGCTGCTGAGACCGAAGGATCCGAAGGCCGGACAGGTTCGATGTCTATTACCAACCCGGCATCAATGCGATGAACGATGGCATAAAAAGGCTTCCCTGAGCTTTTGCACTGGACAGAGATAGGATTGAACATGCTGACATCGAGGGCTCCGGCGGCTTTTTCCAGAGCCACGGAACTGGCCGAGTTGAACAAGGTGCGGGCATCGGTGCCGATACCTAAAACGTCTTGCTGCCCGACGCACGGAACGGCCTGGGGCATGAGGTCAAGCATTTCGGGGGCATTTTCACTGTAAGCGAGCACCCTGAAGGTGAGCTCTTCGACGGCGAGCATGCAACCGAAGGTTTGCGTGAGCCCTCCGCGTTGCATGCGCTGCAGATAGGCCGTCACAGCCTGGGCGGGCACGCTCTCGCCGGTGGATTTGCTCGCATTGATGGACTTGGTGTAATCGAAGGAGTCGCCGGATTCCCCAGACTCCTCGAACACGGCCTGGAGCTTGGCATCAGCGGTGGTCTGGACTATCCGCACGCTGTGCTTGGATTTCGCTGAGCTCCCCGACGAGTAGGTGACCTTGGTGGTCGACATTTTCCCAATTCCCCTGTTCCGCAATCTACCTCCGCAACTACTTAAAGGACCGCCAAGCTTTCATCCCGAGCAAGCAGAAACCTCTCGACTCGGCAGGCCTCTCGGCCCGCATGGTCTGTCAACGCACTGAAATCTACGAGAACCTCCTCGGCCACAGCTCAAGCACCACCGCTTCCTTCCTCGAGCGCCTGACACGCTCTCGGTTCCACCAACAGCTCTCGTCGCCTCGCCTCTCGTATCTCCTTCCCTCCCCTCCCCTGCCCTGCCCTTCGGTCGACTTCCCTTCCCTTCCCTTGCCTTCACTTCCCCGCTCCTCTCCTCTGCTCTGCTCTGCTCGCCTCGCCCCGACGCTGCTGCTCCTTTCCTATCCAAACCACCGAAAGTACAGAACAGTGGCAGCAGCGAGCGCTCGCTCTCGCTCACTCGGAACGTGTCTGACTCTTGTCCGTCCTTGCTTCTTCGGGCGTTCGGTGTGAATCTTCTTTACCTCGGCTCGTCGTCACTGCCCCGTACCGGGCAGGGCTGCCTGACTACAACTAGAGCAGCTGCTGCTGCTCCTGCTGCTTCTTCTTCTGCGCCCAAAAGCTTCGACGCTTGCACTTACGCCTCCACGTCGTCGCGCTCCCTCGGCGTCGAGCCTCGCTCACTACTACTACTACCACTACGAACGCCTCTCGCCTCTCGCTTGCCTGGCTGGGCTGGGCTGGGCTGGGCTGGGGGCCGACGCCCGAGACGGGAGAGAAGCGGAGCAGCACAGCAGCAGCGCCCGCTTCTCAAGGGGCAGGCACTCACTCACTCGCTGGCTTGCTCGCTCACAGGACTGGCTCGGCTCGGCTCTGCTCTGCACTCAGCTCAGCCTCAAAGCAAGTTCAGCGGCATCGCAAGTACAGGCTCTGCTACATGCCACTTGGGACCGCTGAGTGATGTGGCACCTCCAGTTCCCTTGACTCCCCGTCGTCCACGTCTTTCGTTCCTCGCTCCCATTTTTATCCTCTCCTCCTTCGCATTTCTCTGAGAGAGAGAAATGCGCTCGTCGTCCCTTCCCTTCTCTAGCAAATGAGTTCTCAACTCGCTCCCTCCGTCCTCTCTCTCGCTCTTTCTCACTCGACTGTCCCGCTTTCTCGCATCGATGGGTCGCTTTGTACTGCGACCTCCGACGTCTTCTCTCCTCGTCTCGGATCTACCGCATCTCTTTCTTTCTCTTTCTCGTGGTGCTTGGCCCCCGCGCTCCGCCTCCTCCTCCTCCGCCTGCCGCCACCCTACGTCATGCGCTCGCACCTTGGACGCTAGCTAGCTGCTGCTAACTACCCAGTGTCAGGCGGTCGGTCAGTCCGAGCGAGAGAAAGAGCAAGAGAGCGAGAGCTGCCAATCTTTCGTCGACCTCGGCTCGATCTTCGTTCTGCTTCCCTTGCGAGGCGGTGCTGATGCTGCTGCTGGCGATTCGGAGCCCGAGGGCTTGTGACCAATTCGATCGAAGAGCATCGATCGATCGCGCGCGCATTCAATCCGGCGTTCACTCGCCCGTTAGCGTTCATATCCGCTCCTCTTCGGCCGCGCTCTCGCGCAACGCTTGCGCGGCCTAGTCAGCGTCGGTTCCACGGCCAGCCCTACCTATCCTTTCCGAGGTGGGCCCCGCCCCGCCCCATCCGACCCTCATCCATCCCATCCGCGCTGCCTCTGACTCCGAGTCCTTTCTTGCTTGCCATTCTCTCGCACTTCCTTTCTCGGGCTCTGCAACCCAACACATGAACTGGGCCGACGGACGGATCCGCGACGGAGCCTTCCGTCAGTCTGTCAGCCCCCCGATGAAGCGTACCGTACCAGCGGTGGGTGCTCGTGGTGGTTCCTATTCACGACGCCCATGCGTCTGCCGCGGCCTCCATACAAGAACATGGGGTCCATATAGGCGCGTGTTCCGGGCAGTGGGCCGGGCGGGCCGGGCAGGGCAGGCTCCCGGCGCATCTCGACCTTCGGCCTTGGGGCAAATCTGAATATTTATATGTCGAAATCGCGACGGGTGGGGAGGAACGGGACCTTTTGGTCGCCCCGGCTCGCTCCACCAAACCACTACCACCTCAAAATCCAATGCGCATTCTATCCATCTCTGCGCTGCCTCCACTCCACGTTCGAGTTTTGTTCGGTCGATCTCGTGAACTCGGGTCGTCATCGTCGGCCGAAATTATATCCTGAGGAAGGGATGGGAGCAATTAGGCTCAGGGCGGCGTTTGCTTTCCTCCTGTGGTGGGGATGGAAATATGCCAAGTGCATCCAATCAGGAAAAATGTGGCCACCTGCTGCTGATGCACTAGTCGCCTAGATGCGAATCGCGAATATGTCTTCTGTGAGGAACACTGGTGCGATGAGGACGAGGACGGGCAGGGCAGGGCAGGCTTTGGTGTTGCTTCCATTGGCCCTATCCGGATTTGCTGGACATGGTGTGCAACTCTAATCTATCGGCAGAGTCGAGCATGTTCTAGTCCGTAGGTACAGTCGCGCAACGACGCAACGAGTGCTCTCGAGATCCCGGCAGGCAGCAGTAGTACGACATGGCGGCCAAATGGCGGACAAATCTCCACTTCCGTCTCGCATCCACCGGAACATTCGTCTAAGAATGGAGCTCCACTTCTGCCGAGCTAAATTTGCACCCCCGAGGTGTGAAGTCAGTGCTTCGCCGATGTCGTCGTTATGGGTCGCGCTCACCCAGTCTCCCCCCGCTACTGACCTTGTGACTAAACTCAGTTCTGCCAGACGAACCAAGTTACCCAACAAAGTTACCCATCCTCGCCGGCTATTTATTTCTCACCCCCCCTCCCCCCTCCCTGCTCCTAACATGTGAGCGACATCGTTCCATCATGTGATCCGAGCCCGTCTCGCGACTCGGGTGGTATCTGGCCACTTGTTAAATGTTAGCTCCAAGCGTCCAAATTTGAGGCCCGCCTCTCGTCTTGACCATATCTTGTCCTCGCAAAATTTAGCGCTGTCGTCATGGGGTTGCATCGAAGCTCGCATCGAGCCGTATTCGAAGACAGTGGGAAGTTGGGAATTTGTGATTTTAGGCGATAAAACCGAGTCTAAAGACAAATTCTTTTCCATCCAGAGCCTTCCACAAATGATATCCCGATTACCTAATCGGGATGTCAGTGTCGGGAGTGGAATGATATACAAAACCCACCACTGGAGCAAGCGCATATACATTTCCAAGTTGCGGATATTAGGTTGACGATAATCTCTAAGCCATGCCCGAATATTCTCAACTTGTCAACTGCTAAAATTTTCTTTATACTTTTGCGCTTGGGATTTTATGTCGTCTTTAGAAAGAGACATTCTGGTTATTCTAACTCCTCAGTCCATTCATGATTCTCTTATATGATATTCATGACCCTTTATCATATGTTTAAATGTATTTTCCAGATAATTTCCGATTGAAATTTTTTGAATATTCAAAAATTATGCTGATGTTTTAATATGATTTTTTTAATTTAATTGTAAAAAAATCAAATATATTTTTTGATGCTGTTGAACAATACCAAAGAAGGCAATGCATGACTTTATAAATAATGAAACAAGAAAAAAAAATTCATAGATATCTTAAACAAACACATTTCACCCTTGTATCTGTCAAACATTATTGATATATATTTGATATACTTAATATATAATATTAAAATATCAATCGAATAAGAAAAATTGTCCATATAAAAACATATCCCATCATGTGGTATACAAATTTCTTTTTTTTACCTTTTTAGATGAAATGTTAAAAAATTATAAATAATTGTTAAAAAAACATCTATAAATCATAAAATGATTTTCAAAATTTTACACTACTTCAACATGTTCATCTTGTTTGTACATTTCATTTCAATAAAAACTAATTATAAAAATTTTAATGAAAAGTATTCAAATATCTGAAATATATAGGTGGAATGTTTAGCTAAAAATCATAATAATCACAATTTTTAGAATGAAGATGAGATTTATTTCATCATCAAATTTGAATTTCAAAATTCAAATTTTATATTTTGTTATTTATAACTCACACTATATATGTTGTGTTTATATTTTAATAATTGATAAATTTTACATACATAATTTTGAAAAAACATTGTGCATGATTTTTGGGCTCAATAGATTGATAAATAATAAAATCCCAAAAAATTTGTACAATGATGAATAAAAAACTATTTTTTATAAAATTGATTATATCAATTTTTCAGTATTTTTATAAATTTCATTTGAAATCAATCACATATGTCAATATAAGCCTAATGTCTAAAAATTCAGAAATAAAAAAAACTGTAAAGATTCATAAATTGAAAATTTGCAAAGGAATTTAATTTCACTATCACCTATTTCTAAACACATGTTGAAATGTATATATTTATCACAAAGAATTAAAAAAATTTCATAATTAAATCTATAAATGAAGTCACAAATATACTATTCTAACACAAAACTTTAATGATTTTGCATCTGTCTTTCATGGCTAGTTAAAAGTATTACAAAAAATATTAAAAGTATATATAAAATCAAATTCTAGTAAAAAAGCACCAAAATTTTTTCATGGATTTCATTTTTTAATTGCAATGACATGATATTATTAACATATATATGGAATTATATATAAAATTTAGACGATGCAGAATTTATTTATGTTTATCAAATATATTGAATTTTTCATTATTAAATGTATAAATGCATCAAATAACAAATGTCTAAATATTAAAGTATCTAAATGACATAATGTTTGATCATATATCAAATAAAACATAAGTAAGATTTAAAAATTGAAGAAAATATTTACACATAATATATAACTTATTTTAAAATTATTTTTAATTTCATAAGTTGCAGAAAACCTTAACATTAAAAAATTTATATTTTTTAAAAATAATTTTTTCATGAAATTCAGAAAAAACATCTATTGATAAATATCTATAATCAAAATTTATAAAGGTTCATATAAGCTCTTTTTTTTCAAATTATGTGATTTTTTAAGTAATAATTATTGAAATTACTGTAACTTCTGTTTTTTATTCATTTATAAAATTTTTAATGTAAATTTTTATAAGGATTGATTTCACCAATTTTTTAAAGCAAAATGTTGATTATGAATCATGAAATTTTATTATAGATTGATGAAAATACATTAAAGTTACTGATTTTTCCAAAATTTAACATCTTATGCATAAAGAATAAATAAATCTATACATTGAAAAAATAGTCTAATTGATGTGGTATAAAAGATGTGCAAGTCCAAATTGATTTAAAGCTAATTCAAATGTTAGAATTATGAAATCCATAATTCTTTTTTTGGTTTCTAATCCAATTGTCGAAATAAACTATAATATAAAGTACTCATGAAACTAAACTTATTTAGACTTTGAAAGATTATTGTGCTTGCTACATTATCACCATATCATATGTACAACAAATTGTGAACATTCGCATGATGGTCTCAAATGTTTTCATTGTACACTCACATTCTCAAATGCAAAAGTATTACAGACAAAATGATTGTGCAACTAGAATATAATATGCTTATATTGATATGTTTCTAATATTATGTTTCATCAATGTTGTGTCAAATTTCACATCGATATAAGTAGATTTTTTTCTACTTGCACAATCATTTTGACCTCAAGGCACTTGGATTTGAGAATGTACGTTAACAATCCAAACATATGAGAGCATGATGGAATTTTTTGTATATATGACATCGTGATAACCTAGCAAGCACGGTGTTTTTTCCACCTTTGGCAACTCTCAATCATTTTGCTCTATTTGAGAAGCCAAGCCATCATGTAGTTGGCTTTTTCATCCAATATTGCCAGCTATTCGATATTTCTTGCCGTCAAATTTATCACACATTTGATACTTAGTAGTTAAAAAAAATCTCATGGCGAGAGTATGCTCTTGCCATATATATTAATAAGAGCATTTTGTTTGCTAGTCTTAGGTTCAAAATCAATGAGATTGTCATCAGTTATAACTATTGATACAAACGGCCACACTCACTCCTAGAAAAATTTTTCGTCAATACATAACGGCTAGATGATTCTTGCAATGTTCGAGGGTTGAAGATGCACATTCCCTCGTTCTTTAATCAAGCACT